ATAAATGTAAACCCTAAACCCTAAACCCTAAACCCTACACTTTTATTTGGCGGGGGGGGGGGGGGGGGGGGACCGGGGGTTAGGTCGAGCCCTGACCCATCACTCTGCTGGCGCGGCCAAGCTCGCACACCTCCTGCAGAGACACACCTCGGCTTTGGGGGTTCAGGGTTTAGGGTTTAGGGTTTAGGGTTTAGGGCCCCACGGAAGTCGGGTGTTCTTGAAGCGGTGTAGGGCTTCTGGGCTTAAAAACATTCGCCACCCCACCTGAAGTCGCTGGAGAGGGCTTCGTAGCAAGTCATTTTGGGATTGAAGAGTAGGGGTTTTCGGTGTAGGGTCTAGGGTGAACGGCTAGCTGTTATACTGGCCTGGTCTCCTGGCACCCAGCCCCCAAAATCCCTAGCGAGGGAATCCGCTAAGAATGCCTGGAGTGCCCACCCCAAAGAAATATTGAGAATTCCTGGAGTGCCCAACCCAAAGGATTCCGTGAAAATCCCTGGAGCCAACACTAACAGCCGGGATGTTCGACGCACAGCGCCTCTTAGTAGGACCTAGCAAGAAGAATGAGGTTTAGGGTTTCGGGTTTCGGGCTTAGGTCCTCCGGTTATGCTCAGACCAACAGACATCCTAAACTAACTTTAACCCCACCTTCTCTCTCCTCGTACAAGCAGATGCTCATAATACGGGCCTGAAGTGCCCTAAACCCTAAACCCTAGACCCCTAAACTGCTAAACCCCAAACCCTAAACCCCAAACCCCTAAAGCCCTAAAGCCCTAAAGCCCTAAAGCCCTAAAGCCCTAAAGCCCTAAACCCCTAAACCCCTAAACCCCTAAACCCCTAAACCCCTAAACCCCTAAACCCAGATGTATATATGAATATATATATATATGTTCATTTATTTCTTTATTAACAAAATCCTATGACTCGAAACCCGAAAGATTGAACCCTACAGGGTCGGGGGTTGGTCCGGAGGCCCTAAACCCTAAACCCTACACCCTAAACCCTAAACCCTAAACCCTAAACCCTAAACCCTAAACCCTAAACCCTCCAGACGACACCGAAATCTTCTGAGAGCCCAAGCAGGCATCCGAGGTTGCCATGGTCATGATGGATTTTTCCTGGGAGCCGGGGTTAGGGTTTAGGGTTTGGGGTTTAGGGTTTAGGGTTTAGGGTTTAGGGTTTAAACTTCAGGCTTATCGGCTTAGTGGAGTTCGGGTAGCCAGGCAGGGGTGACGCTGGCTAGGTATGAGTAGCTACAATAGGAACCCGGAACCAAAAATGTATTGAAGACGATAAAAGTATAGTACTCCCCCAGAAACCCTAAACCCCTGAAACGCTAAATGCCCTAAAGCCGTACTTAGACGCCCCAAAAAACCCCCTCAAACCCTCAATCCCTTGAAACCCTCAATCCCTACAAACCTACTATGCAAGCCTAAAACCCCTCAGCTTCCCGGTGGGTTCAGGGGTAAAGCCTCGTGTGAGGGTTTAGGGAGGTTGTAGGGCTTTAAGGGCTGAGGCCCTTGCACCCATCGCCCCAAATACCCAAAAGCCCTACCTGACGGGTGGGTCCTCAGAAGTAAGGTAAGGTTTAGGGTGTGGGGTTTAGGGCTTAGGGTTTAAGGCCTGCCTGACGATTCAGGGGTTATACGTAGGGTTAGAAGTCAGGTGACCTACACCTGAACCCACACTGAGGTCCTTGTCACCCTACTTCAAAAAAAACCTGAACGTTCAAGTACCTGGTGCCCCAGTAACCCTATTACAATAAGGGCACCCATTTTTGGTTGGTTAATTAATTCATGAGGGAACCTTGAAGCCAAAAAAAAACGAAAAGGGTACCACTGGGCTACCCAGAGCATAGACTCAGCCAGGTCTCAAAGCGTAAACTGATCAGACTGGATGGTTGGTGTGGAGAATCCAGGAGCGGGACACCTTGGGCTCTCAGGAAAAGAGCAAAGAAACCCTAAACTCTAAACCCTAAACCCTAAACCCTAAACCCTAAACTCTAAACCCTAAACCCCAAACCAAGGCACTCTGTGGCCTGTGGCGTTCTGGTGTCCGGGTTCTAGGGTTCTGGGGTTTAGGGTTTGAGGTTCCAGGGTTTTGAGGTTTGAGCTAGGGTTCAGGGCCTTAGGGTTTGAGGTTCTGGGGCTTCTACGGTTTTGGGGCCCTAAACCCTAAACCCTAAACCCTAAACCCTAAACCCTAAACCCTAAACCCTAAACCCTAAACCCTAAACCCTAAACCCTAAACCCTAACCCTAAACCCTAAACCCTTTAATTTAGTGTTGTTGGGGGGTTGTTTGAGGGGTTTCTTGTGGACTCTGGTCAGGTGGCCTACTTTCTCTTAGAGTCGGCCTCTTGGAGCGATCCACTTCTGCCAAAGAAGGGAGAAGAGAGAATTCAGAAGAGAGCAGAGAGGGTTTAGGGTTTAGGGTTTAGGGATTAGGTCAGAGAAGAGAGAAGAGAGAGAGAGAGAGAGAGAGAGAAAGAAGGCCAACAGGGCGCCTTTTGTGCGTTCGCTCCAACCACCCTAAACCCGAAACTGCAAACCTGAGCCCCTAAACCCTAAACCCGAAAATGCGAACCTGAACCCCTCATCTGTCTGAGGCGAGGGCTTCTCCACTGAATTCCTCGCAGCAGTTGACTACGATTTGCTTAAGATTCCTCCCTCCCAAACAATGTGAAAACCATTTCCGAAGCTCTTAAGCAAATTAAATAGGAATTCAGGCTTAGAGGTTCGGCTTGAGGGGACTGTCTGGGGTTTCGGCTTTAGGGCTTCTAGGCTTTAGGCTTTAGGGTCCAGAGCTTAGGGTTTATAGGGTCCGGAAAAGCACGGGTGAGTGTCCGAAGGGAAAGTTCCGAATTTAGGGTTGCGCAACTGCTGGGCGAGCGTGCGCCATCTGCGGCACAACAAATAACAACGCACTTAATACCAACCGCATCCTACTGCACCGATGCTGCCTCTGCTGCTACTGGAAGAGCCTCACTGTGCCGGAACGGCTCAACCAACCAAGACATGCCTAGTTTCTGCAGCAGGCGACTGCTTGAAGCTGTATAGAACCCATCGAGATGCGGCCAAGGCGCAATAAGCAAATATGGCAGGCATATACTGGTCAGATCGCGGTGTCAATGCTGATAAGGGGCTTGGGCCCGTGAGCAGCGACAAGTCAGGCTCTTTGTGGGACCCCTTCTTTCAGGTACCATGAGACCTATATCTGCGAACCCAGTCTCGACGAACCGTTCGCGGTTGACTCAAAGCCGTTCGACACAGCGCCATGATAACTGGTTTTCGGGCTTACCGTGTTTCAACCTAAAGAGTATACAGAACGACAGCCTGTGGCCCCCAAGGAAAGGATATGTAGGTCAGCGTGGGTCGTCTGAGGGTGCAGGTACGAGCAGGGATTGCAATGGCTTGCAGCCACCATGAGGCAGGTCAGCACACACTGCGGCACATCAATTTCTGGCGGCAAAGTGTCCACAGATGATGAAACAATTGAGCGAGGGAGGGCTTTGTCACCTCTTCTACGATTCTAAGATTAGAAACGTCTTGCTCGTTCGAGCTGCTGCGTCCCTTCTCAGGCATGGGGCCGTAGCCGGGGCCCCCGACTCCTGGCGCTGCAGCTTCGGCTAGGGTCCTGCAATGTGTCTGCTTGTGCAAGATTGCTGCTACATGCTCCAAGCAACCACTGCCAATCAGTGCATTCAGAGAGGACTGATTCCGCCGAGACTCTTCCCCTACTTGCACCACTTCTTCGTCCCCTTGCCTTTCCCGAGACTTTTTCCTGAGCTTCCCCCCCCCCAGATCGCCAACAAGGGCTGTCCTTGCTGGCGATGTAAGGGACCTTCAAGCTATAGACCCTAAACTCCAACCCAACTACCATGGGCCACACCCAACCTAAACGCTAAATGCTGAACCCCGAAACTCCAACCCCTAAACCCTCATCTTTGTCTGAGGCGAGGGCTTCTCCACTGAAGTCCTGGCGGTAGTTGGGGCTGAGGGGTCTAGATTCAGGGGTTGCGGTTCAGGACTTAATGAATACGCGCCGCATCCTACCCCCCCTTTAGGGTTAAGATTCTAGGTCTAGGGTCTAGGGTCTAGGGTCTACGGTTTAGGGTTTAGGGTTTAGTGCTGCCTCTGCTACTGGCTATTGGAAGAGTCCATTTGTGCCGGAAAAGATCAATCAAGACACTCCCCAATTTAAGATAGGGGCCGTAATAATTCGAACAGGGTTGTGGGGGTAACTATAAGTATATCTATAAAGGGAATATAAGGGAATGCTATTAGTAATTATTCCGACCCCTATATGAAACGGCCACGGTTGGGTCTGAGGCTTGCCAGAAGAGGTGGCCTGGGTTTACGTGCACAGGCAAACACCTTCTGGCCTCGTTCTGCACCCCCCCCCCCCCGACTTTTTCTCCCATGCCATCTCGCTTGACTTTCTGTTGGTTCGTAAGAAATGAGGGAATGAGGTACCCTAGATAATCCCTGAAAGGGTAATATATCGGGGGACCTTAAAGGGTACCTCATTCCCTCATTTCCTACTAAGCAGCAGTAGGTTGAGGCCACATCACAGGAGGCCAGGTAACTAAAACCTATCCAGCTCACAATTGGAGGCTGCCACTGGCTACTAAACGAAGCGAATCCCACCTGGGGTAGGTTTGGGGGGCCCTACAAACATTGGATTTCTATGGTCTATGGCTTTGGAAGGATGATACAACCGGAACAAAGGGTAATGAAAAGTAGAAGACATGTTCAAACCTACCCCTGGTCAGTTGGTGCCTAGTCGGGAAAAGCAATGCTGGGCTATATACCCGTCAGTGCTCGCGGAGCAGAAAAGGAAAATGAATGCAAAGGACACAAAGTGGGCGAATGCCCGGAAAAGACAAAATTGGCACATGCCTCTGACTACTGTCTAAGAAGAACCCCCCACCGTTCACCAGTGAGGAAGATTTCGAAACTAAACGCGATGCTGCCTCCAGAGGCATTGTTGGCGACGCGGGGCCTCAGACCGGTTCCACCTGCTTCCGTTTCGCAACTTTCACATGCTTCTGCAATGTCTCGGGCACGCATCGTAGAACCCACATGACCCCCAGCAAGCCGATGGCACCTGTAAGATGTGAGGCAGAGCACAAACAAAGCAGAAAATGACCCCAAGAGGAGGATGGCTCTGTAAGTTTGGGTACTGGTGACGGGCTAACAACTTTGCGTAACTCTGACTCTTCCGACTCTTCCCCATCCCCATCCCGCCTGTTGTGAGCTCCGAGGCGTGCAAGGATGCCGAGGTCGTCAAGATGCTCAGGAACAGCGGGGTGATGACGTCCATGCTGTTGAAGAGCAACCGATACACCGCCATGAATGCGCCACGGCCCGCTCCTGACGGGGCCAGGTCTGCACCAAAGGCCATGAGCAATCCGGCACCGAGGCCATTGCCCAAGCCAGTGAGGGTGCTCGAGGTGATGATGCTCTCCGCGCTGTGGAACGGAAGAACCATGATCCCGACTGACTGCAGCGTCAAGGACACGGCGCCGGCACGGACCCGGCCGTAAGAGTCCATGAGCCAGCCAGCAAGCGGAGAGATGAGCATGTCCACCAAGAAGGACCACCCCACAATCTGCCCAAGGAGCACATCGGAGATCCCCGCCTCCCGGCCGGCGAGAGGAAAGAAGAGCTCTCTGCCCTTCCAGACAAACTGCATGGCGCACGCAAACAACAGCACGCGCACAAGGCGGCCGCTCTTTTCCTTCAGCGCATCTTTGGCTTGGAGTACACCGCTCTTCGTGCTTGGAGCCCACTCCACCTCGTTGCCCAGGCAGACGCTCCCCAGAGCTGCGAGGCTGCCGCAAGCCAGCTGCGCAAAGAACACCGCGCGGATGCCGAAGGCTTCGCGCAGGAGGGAGCCGAGGGGTGGCCCAGCGGCTAGGGCTAAGTAGGTAAGGGTTCCCACGATGCTGATCGCGAAGCCCAGGCGCTCGGGGGGAACGGTGCCGGAGATGTAGGTTAGTTGTGCAAGCACTGCCAGCGAGTTCGCCAAGCCCAGTAGAAATTGCGAGAGAATCAGCATCTCAATGTCCTCCATTAAGGAGATGCTGGCGGAACCCAGGAAGAGGGCACAGGCCAGCAGCAGGGTGTACTTGGCACCAAGACATGGTAGAAGAAACGCTCCGGGGATATTTGCAATCATGAAGCCCAAGCCATACAAAGAGGCTAGGAGCCCGACTTCTGTTGGGCTTCCACCAAGATCCAAGACGTGAAGAGGGACACAGACATAGACCAAAGCCCGCATCATTCGGCACAGGAGACAGGTACCGTACACCGGCGCAAGCATCCACAGCACCTCCCTCAGAGTAGGGGCTTGCAGCAGCTCCTCGTCCATTTTTGTGCGCTGGGGGCAGTCTCTTCCTTCGGCGCCTTCTTCCTGCTTCACGTAGGACATGGCGAGCGGCTAAGATTGGATCCCTGAGGAGCACCAAAACTGCGCCATAATTTGAACAGCCTCACAACCGATATCAAAACCGTGCGCATGCTGGACATGCCATGACATGCCATGACATGCCATGTGGACTGCGAATGCCTCACCAGACCTACTTAAGACGACTAGAGGATGGATGAGGCCACAAGGGCCACACGTGGATTCACACCGGGGCTCCTGGACAAGAGTTGCCCTGGGAGATGCCCGCTGTCACAGCACACCGTGCTTGAAAACAGGTCTAAATCACAGAAGAACGTCACACCCTGAAGGCGCTCCTTGTTGCCAGAAACCGCGGCCAAGGACCCTGACACCTCGGAAGTTGCCGTGTTTTTGGGCCTTCAAAGCGGTAGAGGCTACGCCTGCGACGTAGCTTTCGGCAGGGGGAAGGACCCCCAAGTCCCTATTTTGAGAACTATGGTAAATTGTAAGGCATGATACATTAGGGTTTGGGGTTTAGGGTTTAGGGTTTAGGGTTTAGGGTTTAGGGTCAGGTTATTAGGGTTTCGGGCAACTGGACGTTGCGTGTTTCCATGTCCTGGGGCAGCTACCGAGGGGGTTGGTTGCTGTAGTAGCCCAGGCCCCAGGGATCATGTAGGGTTTAGGGTTTTGGGTTTAGGGTTTAGAATTAGGGCTTAGGCCCTTATAAGAAAGAACAGTCGTATTATTTTAGAGGGGGTTCTCAGGCAATTGGTAGGGTAGGGATTGGCGTTTAGGGTTTTGGGACTCAGTGTGCATCAGCACTGTGAGCTTTGGGAGTTTATTGCAGTTTGAAAGGTTTCAGGATGTTAGCTTTTGGGCTTGCATGAGGCGTTGTGGAGCTATAGGGTTTAGGGTTTAGGGTTTAGGGTTTAGGGCGTTGTGGAGCTTTAGCGATAGAGGTCTATTTAGGGCCTGCCACTCTCAATGTACCCAGCTTACTAGCCGGTGGCCCCCAGACATGCCATGCGCCGGAACCCCCACTTTGAACCCTAAACCCTAAACCCTAAACCCTAAACCCTCTTGAACCCTCAATCCTAAGCCTATACCCACCACAAACCACAGGAGGAACGAGGGGTAACCGCCTTAACCCTGTACCCTAAAAACTACCATGGGCCACACCCCAAACCTGCACCCTAAACTCTAGGGGTTCTACCTTGGACCCTTAAGGTTGTACCCTTGGGTTTTGGGGTCCCCTTTTAAGGATCCCTAGGGGAATATCAGGGCCATATTGGGGGTATATTAAGGGGACTGAGCCCCGAAACTCCAAACCCTCAACCCCCATCTTTTTCTGAGGCGAGGGCGGAGAGCCTGCCTGCAACTGCGACTGTTTCAAGCTGCAGCTGGCCCGAAACCCCAAAAGACCTAAACCCTAGACCCATTGAGATGCGGCCAAGACACAAGAAGCAAGTGCATAGATGGGTCCGAGCGCAGGGTCACTGCTGATAAGGGGGCTTGGGTCCGTGAATGGCGAAACGTCAGGGCTCTTTCTTTTGGGGCTGGGATCCCCTTCTTTCAGGCGCCATAACCATTGCGCGACCCATGACTGCGAACCCTCCCCACTAGGACTAAGCGCCATGACGTCTGGTTTCGGGTTAACCTGGAGACCCTCAAGGGCACACAAAATGACAGCGTGCGGCCCCAAAATAAAAGACATGTATTCCAGTATGGGTGATTGGAGGGTGTAGGTACGAGTAGGGTGTGCAATGGCTTGCAGCTGCAATGAGCCGGGTCTCAGCACTTACTGCGACACATCAATTTCTGGCGGGTGCCCGGACGGCAGTCCTTCGCTAGGCGAAGTGTCCACAGATGAAACAATCGACGGAGGGAGGGCTTTGTCACCTCTTCTACGATTCTAACTTCAGCAACGCTTTGCTCGTTCGAGCTGCTGCATCCCTTCTCAGGCATCGGGCCGTCGCCGTGGCCGGCGACTTCTGGCGTAGCTTCAGCCAAGGTCCTGGAATGCGTCAGCTTACGCAAGATTGCTGCTTCATGCTTCATGCTGAGTGAAAACACTGCGACATGAGTGCATTCAGAGAGGGCTGCAGGAATGCTTGCGCCGAGACTCTTCCCTTACTGGCGCCACTTTCTCGTCCCCTTTCCCTTGCCGTGCCCTTTGCCTCCTTTCCCTCGCCCCTTCCCTTGCGGGCCATGTGGAGGGCGGGGAAGCAGCGTGGGAAGGGGCTCCTGGGACGAGGTCGCGACATCTGTGAGATCGCACCTTGGGGGCTCCTCGGACAGGTCTGCCCAGCGGGGCTTGTGCGTGCTTGGCTCCTTGGAGGGCGCCGGATGTGCCGTGGGCGGTGCTTCGGGAGCCTGCAAGGGCGCTTGCATGGGAGGGAGTGGTGGTGGGAAGTGCGCTGGTGGTGGTGGCGGAGGCATGGGCATGGGTGCTTGGGGAGCGGGAGTCCAGGCAGGAGTTGCCGGCTGGTATTGAGGGCATGGCATTGGGTAGAATATGGGTGGAGGCATGAGTGCATAGGGTGCCTGGTTCACAGGCATCTATGCGGTTGCCGGGGCAGGCTGGTAGCACAGCCCCTGCCCAACGGCATAGCTCATTATGGGTGGGGGCACTGGGGAAGCTGGCGCCCAGTAACACTGCTGGAGTGGCCACTGCTGGAACTGCTGGAGTGGCCCGGGCGGCCAGGGGGCCATGGGATGGGCGGTCTTGGCCCAGTGATCCGCTGGAGGCGCGAGGCCTCCGCGATAGTTTGGCCCATAAACAGCCTGCTCACCTACAAACGCAGGCGGCAGCTGAACGATGGTTGTGGCCATGATTAAATAAATGGTCAAGCACGTCACGAGCTTTTGGATGTCTTGAGCCACAGCTCGACACGGGACAGTCACGAAGTGACACCAGCTTGTAAGAGAGTTCAGAAGCGTGGAATGTGCAGAAGCTCACATATCTGGGCCTCTAAGGGTCACTCAACGATCCAGACACCACATCGTGCAGCTGGGTGCAGCTTGGCTCGTGTTTCGTCCGCACCACATCGAGCGGTCGAGCTGGTTGCTTAGGCAAAACGTACTGGTCCTGTTCAGCACTGGAAATGCTGAGGGCTTCTGTCAGGTGAGAAGCTTGCAGCTTTGTCGAGCTATAGCACTGCCGTTCAGCAGAGCTCGCAGCAGAGCTCGGAATCTTGGAGGACAAAACGTCTTATCTTGCCACCCATCGTCAACAGAACAGATCTGCATTGTTGGACCTCGGGTAAGGTGTCCGCGTGCGTTTGTGTGTGTGGATGTGAATTTTTGAAGCGAGTGTATGATCTTACTTCTGAGGCAACTTCAAGCACTCATCAGGCAATGGCAGCTCGGCGCCGCTATCTGGCCTCGGACAAAGATTGGGATACTTGAGGTTTCATGGGTAGCTACACATGTTATAACTAAGGCAACCTGTACTATCAATTTAATAAAGGTACTTAGAACCCTACCTAGGTTCATGGGTACCTACTAGAGATATAAATCAGGCAACCCAACTTGTATGACAAAATGAACCTTCTAGTGAGAAATGGGAGCTCACTCAAAGGATACTTGCAGGTTCACGGTTCGTTGCAGGGGAAAGAAGTCTTGAAAACCCTTCATCGTGGGTTTGATCAGTTCTGTTCGGATGAGCGTTGAACCTCGACCGCGAAACCTCGCAGGCCTTTAGGCGCAAGGGCGCTTTGGAATTTGAGAGGAGTTTTGGTCAGGGTGGCCAGGCGCCTACAAGACAGGTCTACAAGTGCCATTCACAAGCTTAGTTCCGAACCCGGCCTTTTTCGACTTAGTGTTTCGGTCTTGAAGACGCCCCAAGCTGGAAGTCGAGTCCCTCTTCTACAAGTCGAACCTGCAGGGTTGCGAGGCCGCTCCCCTCAAACCGAACGGCCCGAGCCCGGTGCCCTCCCATCAAACTTCGGCTGAGGTTTTAGGGTTTAGGGTTTAGGGTTTCGGGGTTTAGGGTTTAGGGTTTAGGGTCCATGAAGCTGCCGCGTACTGCTGGTGCTTAGTAGGGGTCGGGGAGGGGGGGGGGGGTGGAGGGGTGTAGGGGTGTAGAAACAGGGATGAATGTGTTGTAGAAACAAACCCGTAATGCTAGACCCCCCAAAAAAGGGTTGCCCTAAACTCAAACCCCCCTGAAGGCGCTCGTTCGCTCCCGAAACCCTCAACCGAAGCCCGCAATCCGAAACTCCAAACCCAAAACCCTCATGCTTTTCTGAGGCGAGGGCTTCTCCACTGAATTCCTGGCGGCTGTTGGGGGCTTGGGGCCTGGCGGGCCTAGATGGAGGGCTTGAAGAGCACGGGCGAACGCTCTAAAGGAGAGTTGCGGATTGAGGGTTGCGCAACTGCTGGCGAGCGTGCGCCCTGCCAACAAACGACTGTCCGCGGTAGAACAGATAGCGACGCACTTAATACCGACTTCGTATGCTGCTTAGTTTTTGCAGCAGGATGCAGCAGGCGATTGTTTTCAGTTGCGGCTTGCCCTCAACCCAAAACCCGAAACCCCAAACCCAAAACCCAAAACCCGCCGAGATGCGGCCAAGGTGCAATAAAGCAAATGTGGCAGGCACACACTGGTCAGACCGCGGTGAAAAAAGCTGAGGGGCTTGAGCCCGTGAACAGCGAGCAAAGCACACAGAAGCCCCGCTGGGCAGACTTGTCCGAGGAGCCCCCTCCGACAAGTCTGCCCACCGGGGCTTGTGTGTGTTTTGCTCCTTTGAGGATGCTGGATGTGCCATGATGTGCCGTGGGCGGTGCTTCGGGTGCCTGCAAAGGCGCTTGCGTGGGAGGGAGTGGTGGTGGGAAGTGCGCTGGTGGCGGTGGCGGAGGTATGGGCATCGCTGCTTGGGGAGCGGGAGTCCGGGCAGGAGTTGCCGGCTGGTTTTGAGGGCATGCCATTGGAAAGAACATGGGTGGAGGTATGGGTGCATATGGTGCCTGGTTTACAGGCATCCAGGCGGTTAACGGCATTGCTCGGGAAGCTGGTGCCCAGTACCACTGCTGGAGTGGCCCCCTGCTGGAGTGGCCCTTGCTGGAGTGGCCCTTGCTGGAGTGGCCCTGCTGGAGTGGCCCGGGCGGCCAGGGCGCCAGGGGGAGGGCGGTCTTGGCCCAATGATCCGCTGGAGGCGCGAGGCCTCCGCGATGCTGGACCATCGTGGTGGCCATGGCAAATCATGGTCAAGCACGTCACAACTGGGTTTGCGTTCCGGCTGCTGCGAAAAATGTTTTCTCTACCAGGCAAATTCGGTGACACACTGACCCTCGCACTTTTTCTTTCAACCGCTGAGCAAGATGAATCATCAGCAGGCAAGGCCATGTGAAGAGACGACCTGGGCGAGGGGCAGTCAAGTGGGATTGGCCTGAATGAGGCCCTTGACCCTGTGGTTGATGGCAACACCTAATGACTCTTAGAAACCGGCACCAACCATGCAACAGTGCCAACTACCAACTGCTGACACTGAAAGCTCAGGCTCTTGCCAATGCGTACTGACCCTGTTGCATTGAGCGACCCTGTTGTGGCTGCACCTGCTGCATGACTAATAACCAGAACAGGGCATGACTCAACCAATCGTCATCTCCTAAACCAAAGTCACCTGGGACCAAAGTTTTGCTGCTAAGTCTTTAATTAAGTACTCGGAAATGAAGGCGGCGTTCGACAAGTGAGGCGCTGCCTGACCCCAACGACGAGCATATCCAGGTCCAGCCTCAGCAGGTTTGACACCCCTGGCTAAGCCCCAGTATCCGTAGTGGCGATTGGGGTTGACTTCAGGCAGCCCAGGTTTCGGACCTAAGGTTGAGGTTACAAGTTTCAGGGCTAATTTAGGGTGTAGGGGCTAACCCGGTGAAAGAGGTTCGGGCTTAACGGGCTGAGCTAGTACGGTTTGGCGTTAAGGCTGGACCCCTTCAGTGCTCAAACTAACCCTAAATCCTTGACACTCACGTGGGCAAGTTCTTGGCGGCTACCCTGTCAGAATTATGGTCCAAGGCTTGCACCACAACTTTTTAACACTGTGGCTGCCGCACTGCATCATGACGAGCTCCAGTGGCACACGTTGCAACCCATTGGCACTTATTGTGTTATTTAAAGTTATGATTTACTCACACACTAGCCTTGACCACCCTAGTCTTGACTCTATAAACTATTGTGTCACTGGAACATCCGTTGCAACCGCTGCCTCTGAGCATCTCGAGAAGTGTCAGCCAGAGGCTGGCGAGTGACCCTCTCCAGACCCTCAACTGCCACCCCTTCTTCGCGTCGGATTCGTAGCAAGGAGAGCGCGGGCTTCTTCAAATCGTCATTAGCCGTGACCTTGAAGACGTCTGACCCTTCCTCGGTGCTCGGCTCCACCACGGTCACACGTTTGAGCGCAGCTGCCGTGTCCAGAACCTGCTTTGCATTTTTTGTGAGGCCTCTGCGGTCCACTGACAAGGTTGGGACTTGCTGCGGGTGAAGGTGCTCCACAACACGCTCCTTAGTGGGCCGATTGACTCATCATGTCACTTAATATCATGACCCTCACAAAATTGGATTTTCAGAATCAGAAGACTTTCAAAAATTTCAAAGGCAGGCCAGCTGCAGGTTTGTCTGAGACAAAGTCCGGGGCAGTGCAAAGAGCAAGGCCAGAAACAGCAACACCGAATGCCAGGACAGGATTCAGTGCGCAGTGCACCTCTTTCAAATCCTCCACAACAACTAGCGACTTCGATCGCATTGCCTGCGGCAGCGACCTCGCAAAGGAAGACCCTCGATTCACCAGGTCATGCTGGGTAGCATTGAAGACCTGAGCCACAACATCCCAGGGCCCAACCAACTCTGCACAACACCGGGTAAAAAGAACGTGAGGAAACATCAGAACAATTTTAACTTCTTCACCCAGTTGCCAAGTTGAAATTTTCGAACTTCTTGCGGCAAACCACCGTTGTGTCACTGAGCAGAACGGCGTTGCGAGGTGGCGGCAAGGTCGTCGGTTGACCCTGAAGCGCCTTCTCTTTATCAGTCTTCAAGGCTGAACGACGCGTTTCGGTGAAGTTTCTGAACTTCTGGGTTTCCTTGCTGACGGGGATGGCGCCCTTCTCCGCCTCTGTCAACTTGATCATGTTGGGCAGAATGCACTTTTGGCGTTTGGCCTGGCCAGCTGTCATAGCACACAAGGCGTCGGCAGCCTTGCTTTGGCTCTTCTTCAGGGCCGCATCCGTGCATTTTTTAACCCTGGCTGCCAACTCTGGCCCGAAGCGTCGGTTGTAGATCTGGAATCTCCGGCCATGCTTCTCCAGCCAGAGCCGGGCCCACTCCCTTGAGGCAGGGCCAAAGCAATCGACGCCATCGCCGATGACCTCCTCTCTTGACCCTGGGCCATCCAGCTGGCAGTGAAGTATGGCAGCCAGGGCCACGCCACCCAAAGGACCAGCATGCGCAAGCGCTGCTCGCTTCGTTTGACCCAAATCTCTCTCACATGTGCTCGTGACATGCTCCAGCCCCATATAAAAATCGACTACATCGTCCAGGTAGTCGAACTGGCCAAGTTTGCATCTCGCAGCAAAGTCCGCAGCGCCCACCTGACCCCAACAGTCACGATTGACAGCCTGGAGGTCAATGTCGTCTGCATCCATGACCCTGGCATTGTCCTGAAGCAACAACTTTGCTGCTGCTGTGATCTCGGCGCTTGCCTGAGCCTGCTGGGCCGGGCTCTCGACAGGCAGCCTTTTGGCCTGGCAGAGCCGCCGAAACTGGCGGCACAGATTGCCGATTGCGACGGCACGGTCTGCACCAGCTTTGGTCAGCGCACGCTTCCACGCACCCAGATTGAACGCATTGAAGTCTGCCAACAAGTGACCCTTCAGCTCCGCATCGAGTCGTGCACACGCATCTCGAGCAATCTCTCGCCTTGGCGTTGTCCAGTCGTACCACTACTGGCCAGTTTTGGTGAAAGTATAGCAATCGACGGGCTCGTTATGCCAAACTTCGTCACGAAGTTTGGCATAACGAGGCTCTAATAAGGGCGGTTTCTCAGCTGGGGTTTAGGGTATATAGGTCATTCAGCAGCAGCAAGATTTCGCGGGTTAGGACAGGACTCCTGGAGCATACAGGGCTTAAGGGCTGGGTCTGTCCGAAATGAGAGTCCGACTATTTCAATGCCACCAGGGACCAGGGCCCGAGGTTTAAAGTGAGCAACAGCAGAACGTAATGAACCTTCAAACTTCAATATGAATGTGAATGAAAAAAAATCAATCCCAATCCAGTCCGGGCACATGGCGTGCAAAGCATAGGGCGCACTGCGGTTTGCTTCGTCTTCTGTCCACAAATACTTGACCTTGTGCCCATAGTAGAGGGGAGGGCTTCCTCGGGCGATTTGTATGGATTGCGCTGTCATCGTAGTGTCTGACCCTGATGCTTCCAAGAGGATGCGGCCCTCAATGAAGAGCTTGGTCACACGACCCTGATACACAGTCAACCTCTCCAGCAGCAGTGCGCAATCAGGGTCCATGCAGTCGTCCTGGCGGATGTAGCGAAGGGCTTCCGCAGACCAGTCGGCTGTGAGTCCCGCCTCGATGGCGCAGGCCGCGCCCATGGAATCCAGCCATGACCCTGCTTGAGTACGTTTTCCAACGTCGAGCCGTGGGTCGGTGACCCTCATTGCCAGCACTGCCGCAATGGCGGCTTGCAGGTTGACGTAGTGCCTGGAGGAGCTGGCTGAAGACTCGTACCTGGCATCCGCATGACCCACCTGCTTTAAGACCGTGGAAAGGCCAGTCCATTTCTTCATGACCCTTTGTGCCAGCTGCAGCTCGTAGCGCCATTTTTCGGAGGCCTGCACGGCTGGGAACAAGCCTCCTTCCGCTGCCATGATGACCCTCCATCGCTGGCCCATGCCTCCACTCAGAAACCCCATGGAAGTAATTATGACCCTGCCAGGCAAGGAATTTTACTATTGCTATTATTCAATTGACCCTGGCGCTGAAAACACGAAAAATCCCATTTGGGCAAAGTGCAGCTATCTCGCTTCAATGGGTCGCTCGTGGCGATGCGCTGAACGTGACAGGAGTCGCGTGCAATGACCCCGACGTTGGGCAACGCAAAGCGAAGGAGCTTCAAGGCCTTCTGCACGGCACCGTCTGCGATGACCCCGTTGACCCTGTTCACGACATGCTGAAACAACTCGGTGTCTTCACCACACACCTGCTTTATGGCGTTCCGTATGGATTGTGTGACCCTCTCACCGTAGTCGTCTTCCATGTCCTTGAGGTCGCCATCATCCGCTGACAGGCTCTCCACCCACAGAACACCACGGCGTGTCTCGATCTGACAGGGTTATAATAATGATATAATAAGTCAGTTAAGGTAGTACAGACTGGAAATTAGGGTGTTCTAGCTGACAGTGTACATGTTTGGAAGCTCTGGCCTTGTCGTTGACCCTGACAGAACACTTGTACCGCATGACTCTCCAGCGGCCTTTGTCGTCTAAGGACAAGGAAATGGACCTTGACTGACGAAGGGTCTCGCGATGCCTGTTGCGAATGGATAACGCCATGATCTCGATCATGGCCTTAATGACCCTGGAGTCCGCATCACGGCGCCGACGTCTCATCCCTTGCGTGAAGCGGGACGTTGACAGTTGGGTGCCAGTGTGACTGAATGACCCTGACAAGTTTTCCCAAACCACCAACCAGTCCGCCACTTGTGGCACTGACCCACTGAGCAGCGCCTCGTCACCATCCTCCCGCAGGAGCTGCGTCGGTGGTGTATCGGGCTCCATGAAGCATCTCATGGCCAGCTTGTGAACCTTGCTCTGAGTTGAGTGGAGGAGCAGCGCACTGGCCTGAACGGAGCTCATGGCATTCACCTCGTACCTGCCCCACTTGGTACTGAATCGTCTGACCCTGCCTCGGCATGAACTTGTGGCCAGTTCTTGCTTTGCTGGGGTGACATTAGTAGTAGTCAAATGCACGTTATTACTATATACTATTAATTGAATGTAACAACTTACGTCTGGATGTTACTGCTGAATCTCAAGCATCTTCAGTCAGGACACTGGTAAGCTTGCCCTGGACCTGAGCCTCCTCTGTCTTGTGCAGCATGTTCGCGCACAGGTGACATCCCAGGCCCCACTTTCCAGCAGGCCAGGCGGCCGGTCTGGTCCCAAGCCACGTCACCAGCTGCTTTCGACCCTGCACCATCATTTTCACCGTGCCGGGCCTAAGCAGTCACACTCCCTTATTATTGATTATTAACAATTTTAACCGGACCCTCACTCACAGAAAAAGTCTCCCACCAAATTCCTTCTCTGCTGCAGACACGAGTCCCATCACTGGAAAGCCACACCGAACTCATCTTCTGAAACCGGCAGCGTGGGCAGTCATCGGTTGGGTTTTTCCCGTGCTTTTGCTTGTGCTCTGCATCTGACCATGACAGATACTCGTCCCGCACAGTTTCGTTCCCGCCCTTAGCCTTCCACCATGGCCCTGAAAGAGCTTTCTTGGACCTTGGCCGTCTTACCTGCTGCACAGAACTGGAATCTGCAGAGGCGGCTTCGCGGTGCGCAGAACTGGAATCTGCAGAGGCGGCTTCGCGGTGCGCAGAACTGGAATCTGCAGAGGCGGCTTCGCGGCGCGCAGAACTGGAAGCTGCAGAGGAGGCTTCGCGGCGCGCAGAACTGGAATCTGCAGAGGCGGCTGACCCTTTGCCGGCTGTTCTTTTTTTTGGGACCGGCACGACCTGACCCTGTGCACCCTTCAGTCGCTTGCCAGAATCTTTGCCGGGCACAGCTGCATCATTGTCGTCGCTGAAATGCGACAGCAGCCGCTTTCGCTCTTCATTGAGGATCGGCATGGCGAGGCCGTTGACAAAACTGTGTCTGACTCACGCACATGTCCTGGGTGACATTACTTGACCCCGTCACTGTCATTCCTGCCACGTCCTGCAGATTCTCAAGGACCCTAGTAGAGGCTGCTGGCTGTCATCCGTTATGTTACTGCAGTCATGCAATCGGTCCAGGCTACACACGGTCAGTCATCAGCAAAACGGATGCAAAGTGACCCTGTTACACACTGACACACACAACACACACAAGACACACACACACAACACACACACACACACACACACAACACACACGCACACAACACACACAACACACACGCACACAACACACACACACACACAGCACACACACAGAGACACACACACACACACAGCACACGCACACACACACACACACACAGAGCACACACACACACACAACAGAAAACACACAACAGAAAACACACACACACACACACACACACAGACACACACACAGACACACACACACACACACACACACACACACACCTTCTTACAGCACCAATGCCAGGGGCCCCACTGCGGCAGCGGCACCATCTGGAAGACGAATGGCTCGCCTGCCCAAGCGAACTCTGTCACGCGACACGGACACAAGAGACCCTGCAAACATGACATGCCAGGAGCTGGGCTTTGGGGATGTATCATCACACTTGTAGACACTGAATCTGAATCAGTCTGACTTCACACACGCACACACCTTCCTACACCAAATCCAGGGGCCCCACTGCGGCAGCGGAACCATCTGAAAGACGAATGGCTCACCTGCCCAAGCGAACTCCGTTGCACGACACGGACACAAGAGACCCTAGGAACATGACGCTAGCATGGTCTGTGCTGAACATGGCACAAATGCAAATTCATTTTGTCTTGTCTGCCGGCGACTGCATGAGGCAGTATCCAGGATGTCTTGCAGACCACTGACCCTCATCAGAGTCATCAAAGCTGAGCTATATTATTATCTGTATCATCACACTTGTACACTGAATCTGAGTCTCACGTAGTCAGAAGAGCCAGTGAATCAGAAGACTTATTATGGCAGCACACCTCTTCAGTGAGTCTGACCATGGAAAACAGATGCCGCGTCTCTTCGACGCGCTGGGCACATATTCTCTGACCCTGGTCTGACCCTGAGTCTAGGCTGCTTGCTCCTCGTCATCCTCTGACCCTGGCAACACTGGGATGGTGTCCTGGAGCGGGGTCTCCAGCTCGTCCGCAAACAAGTCCTGGACTGCCTGGGACAAATCCTTCTCAAACAGGTAATGACCCTGGGACACCACCTTTCGAAGCGACGCGAGGTCCAGCACGTTGGAGAGCCACGAGGCCTGCTCAGCTGACCCTGCGAAGGCCACATAGTGCACTCCAGACTCGACGCAGGCCAACGCCAGCTGGGGGGCCCCCTTCAAGTCGACAACAAGCTTGACCCTCCAGGCAGAGAGGAACTCAGTCCAGAAGGCCTGACCCTTTGACTCTGACCACATGAAGGGCACAGACTGGTCTGCGCTGTATCCATCCGGCGCAATGTCTATTGACCCTGTAATGCCCACCGATTCGGCCATGGTCCTCTTTGCCTGCTGTGACATTGTAGGGCTGCAGTCAGGCCGACGAAGCGTCCAGCTGCCCTTGTAGACACTTGACCCATCGTCTGCGCGCGCGGCAAGTTTGGACTTGTTCCCGCACCCCAACTTGCAGTAGTACATCTCATGCTGCAAAGCCGAGAATGGCAGCCGGCGTGTGCGAACTTGACCCTCCGGATTCTTCTTTGGCTCTGGCTCTTGGTACATCAGCATGCCTTCGCTCATGCTTTCAAAGCCAGTGAGCTCCGCCAGCATTGATCTTCGTGCCTTGGACCGCCCATCGAAGGCGAAGCCGAGCTCGAAACTTTTCTGGCAAGAGCTGTTCATGTAGTCAAACGCAGCCTCCACCTGTCTCTTGCTCAGTGACCCCGTTTGGGCAGCCTCCTGCCATGGCTTCTTTTGTGTGCCCCAAGCACAATCCATGGCCAGAATGGTCACTTCATGACCCTCATTCAACTTGAAGCGTATCTTGAAGGCCTCCTTTGCCCGCGTCACGGCTGCCTGCATCTCAGCGACAGTCTTGGCCTCGGAGACCAAGCAAAGACGTTTTCTGGCATTCTGCGCTCGCTTCCAAACCTCCTTCCGCTCCTCCATGGCAGACTTCATGGGGTCCTCGGGGTTGGAAGCCATCCTGCACAAGGTCCTCAAGGAGAGATTCGGACCCTGTGACATTCCAGAGACAGACCTGAGATGTGCAACTTTTCATTGGACACGAAACTAAGCTTAGGCTTTGAACTCAGGCCACAAGTTTCAAACTGACAATCAGGACACTGACTGGGCTCGCGACTGACCCTGGCGAACAGACTCCAGCAAGTTCCCAAACTGCCGAATCGCTGCAACCAGCACGCCCACCACCTTGTCATCCTCCTTGTGCGAACTGGAGAGTGTCTTCTCCAGCTCGGCATCAGCTGCGAGCGTCAAGAGGGCTTCGTCGAAGTGACCCTCAGTGATTTTCTGGCAAAGGGACAAGAGCTCCCGGCTGCAATTGTGACCCAGACCAGCCTTGACTCGATTAGCAACTTCCTCATCCAGAACCCCTTCTTCTGACACAGGGAACGTTGTGTGGAAGAGTAACGGGTCCTGGAAGACGTGCAAAACCTGATCTTGCATCTCCTTCTTGCTGGCAGACTCTTCCACAAAGCCAACAAGGTTGCTGAGGTAGTGCATGATGCGGTACCGGGTGAGGACGAGGCTGACATACCCGACCTTGTTCTGAGGGTCGATGGTCGTGATGGAGAAGAAGGCAGCGTCCGTGACCCTTCTGTGGAGCGTCACCAGCGCGCTCCTGAGGAATATCTCCACAGCTTCAGCCCCCGGCAGGATATTCTTCACCACCACCATGTGACCTTGACACACCTTGCACATGCGCATGATCTTGGTGTAGTCTTGCGTCAAAGCCTTTGGGCTATAAATTCGCTCGATGTCCTTCAGCAGCTGAACCGAGGTGCCGGACAGCAGCTGACTCTGAAGCATCAAGCACTGGGTGTGATTCTTGTTGACCGGTTTGCCCTCTAGTGTCAGCCCGGTGCGGTTCAGGTCAGCTGCCGACTTGTCTGACCCTGAAAGCTTGACATCTTCGAGGCTAGCCATCTGAAGTGCGCGCAGTGACCATGACAGCCACGACTCGCCTAGATGCTTTCCCGCAGCCTTCATGGCGGTGTTCAGCTTGTTCTCCTCCAGCAACCGACCCTGGGGGGAGACATTCACGTAGACAGTGACTGTCCACGACAAGCTTGCCTTCATCAGCAAATTGACCCTGTCCTCGTTATTCTCTTTGAAAGCCTGGGCCAGCTGAACATAGAAGCTGCTGAGCAGCCGTGACCCTGAGATGACATTGATCTTGGTCGGCAAGGTGTCGGCCGGGATCTTGGGCACTGTGCCGGACATGGTGAACGGGCACAAGATGTGGCCTTTCTCCCCAGGAACAAAGACCTGCAACAAGCACGTGACACAAGAATATTCAAAAGCATTAAATTATCAAAATAAAGCACTGTGCATTCTGTCAAAGCCTGGCCTGGGAACCCAACAAAACAAGAGACTTCCAGCTCGCGTCACCCTCTGCGTCGATGGACAGCACCCAAGCAGTCGCCGCAGCTTCATAGACGCCGTGGCCTTTCAATGCCTTCTTCATGTTGCTCAGGTCCCAGGTTTCCTTGATTCCCTGACCCTCCTGGATCTTAAGAGGCTGCACAGCCTCCAAAGACTTCGGAATCGACTTGCCCAGCAGAGACTTGCCATGACCCAGCAGCCACTTCCAGGCCTCGCTGCGTGTGTAGGGAATCAAGTGTCGCAGGGTTGACTCCGCCGGCTCGTTCTCGTCTGCCGGCAGTGACCAAAACAGCGGCACGGCCGGCACCGCAGGCTCCACCATGTCTGCCAGCCCGGCCGCTTCCTCAGCCTCCGGATCCTCCTGACCCTGCTCGCCGTGCGTCTTCACCGAAACACGGCGGCGCTTGACAGCGCCTTCGCTGCTTGCCATTGTCAGTCGAATGGCCTGGCCCAGCAGGGCGCGCTTTTGACACAAATCAAAAAATGGCTGCGCAGGCCAAGCGCAATTCCCAAACATGTAGCAGCATCAACAATACCAAGCACAGCTGAAACAGAGCACAAAACTTGGCGCACGCTGCGGGCTATGTCGGCTATGTTTTCCGTCGTTTCACTCATAGTCGCAGTGGGTCAATGACCCTGCGAGCACGGACAAGCCACTTCCAATGGCCACAAACACAATAGAGTCATTTAAGTCCTGACTGAATCATATTGTTCTTGACGCCGTCAGGACTCGTCCGTTGCATGGCCCTGACAAGCTATGCAAACAACTGCTTCAAACGGCTGGCCGCACTTGTCTCCACAAGCTTCGGCTGGGGATCTCCGCGCCTCTTTTTGGGCAACGGTGGCTTAGCTGAGTGAGCTCCTTTGACCTTGGCATTGGAGGCTCTTTTGGCCCGCGGCTGCTTCTTTGGCAGAGCAGGCTTCTGCAACAATGTTCTGGCCCTGTCCTTGACTCGGGCTCGCTTCACATACTTTCCTTGGAGCTTGCGCAGCCCACTCTCCGTTTCCAGCAGCTTCCAGCTCAGCACCTGCGGCGGCAGGACAAACTTCGTTGACCCTGCCGGCACCCCTGCCACACAGTCTGATCCTGACGGCTGACCCTGGACGATGTTGGCCTTCCGCCAATCGACCAGGGCCATAGCCAGTGCCATGGCCAAGGCGACAGCGTCCACGTGCATCGCATTTCCAGCCAGGCGACACAGGCGGCTCTGCACGGACTCATCGATGACGAGGCTGTCTGGGTTCACACCCATGTGACCCAGCTTGTCTGTGGCAGACAACAGTCGGCACTCCTTGCCGTTGCCGCTGACCCTGACCACCTTGCTGCTGGTCGTGAGGGTCGGCAAAACGTCCCACAGCGCGGGGGCTCTGTGGATGCTCTGGGACACGTCGACAAACAGCTCGCCCTGACCCTGCATCTTTGCAGCCTCAACGACCATGTTCAAGAGATCTAGTTCACGCTCTGTGAGGTTGTCGCAAGCAAGGTTTCCACGTGACCTTGTGAGCTGCAGATGGTCCCGAACACGCTCATGCAGAGTCTTCCAGCCCCCCTTGCTCTCGAGACCCTTGAATCTCAGACGGGGGCCCGCGCGAGGCTTCTGGACCGACCCTGGTCTCACACTGCTTACCAAGGTGTGAACCAAAGCTGACATCAGGGGTCTGTCAGCCACCTGCACATCCTTGCGCACGAGGATGAAGAACAACCTGGGCCTGGTGCACTGCAGACCCAGTGAGCGGTGGGGGCAAACTGGCACACAGAACATTGTGTACAGGTCCAGGAGACCCCCGGCGCGGAAGATAGAAAACAGGCGAGCGCGGTGTGAAAGGATGTTCATCACGTTCTCATAGACACTCCACACTGGCCGCTGCTCCATAGTGACCCTGACCACATGCTTCACCAAAGCTGCGGCCGGGTGCTTCCACCCAGCCTTCTTGCTTGAATTTTGCTTGCTGAAAGGTTGACATGGAAAGCCACAGACATACCCGCTGATGTCATGGACGGGCCGTGACCCTGTCATGTCCTCGTACAGGTACTGGGGCTTGCTGTTGTCCGCGAGAAACTGGCGGCAGACTGGGTCGATGTCGCAGCTGAACCTGATTGATCCTAAACCCTATTTAACCCCTAAACCCCAAAGCCTAAACCCTTAAACCCTTGATAACCCTTAATACCCTGAAACCCTTAAACCCTTATTTAAACCCTTAAACCCTTGTACCCTTAAACTCTTAAACCCTGACACCCTTAAATTACACCCGTTTTAAACCCTTAAACCCTGAATAAACCCCGGCCCTCAACCCTCAAAACCCTTAAAAAACATTGCCGAGCAGCACAGCCGTGCAGCTGACCCTCATGTTCTTCAAAGCCATGATGCACGTGTCCATGCCAGCACAATCACTTCCGATCCTCTCACCCTGCGTGTCGATGCTGTCTGGCTTCCAGCCCGTGACCCTGTCCACCAACCACTGTCCACGGCGCTTCACAAAGGCAGCCCAGGCCGATGCATCCATGACCCTCACAGAAAGAAAGGCCGGGGGAAACTGGTGACTTGATTGGCTCATCAATGATGCAGCAATGGCAAAATCACAAGTTTGATGTCAAAGTGGAATCTAGGGCAGGCAGACAGCAGCTGGTGCAGACCTGGCCTCGAAAGCGTCGGTGTGGAGCAAAGTGACCCTATGGAAGTCTGCCTGGCACTGGGACCAGTTACGGATAACACGTTTTGAACTGCAGCCAAACGCCCCCCAGGCTAACGTTAGCCTCGGGGCGTTTCGAATCATGGCTGGACAGCCCGAATAGCCTCAAGAGGCCGGGCGGAATTGAAGGCTATTCGCAACATAGAAACATGATCCGAAACGCCCCGAGGCTAACGTTAGCCTGGGGGGCGTTTCAAGACAAAGTGACATGGTAAAATTACACTTTGGGAGGTTGCCACTTTTGCCGTGGCTGCCTTTCTTGCCTGGTTGCGTGTCTTTCCCCCCCCCGCCCCCCCTTGCCTCCCTCCACCCCCTCCCCCAATCACCCACAGACACACGAGGACTCAATTGGAGGAAGATTCACAGTCACACAGGTTCCATGATCATCATATTGCAGTTTCAAATTTCGAGCCCTTACTCCCAAACTTGAACTTCAGAGAAACCTTTCAGAGCATGATCATTGTCATCGGGGCCGGACTGAGACCTTGGCCGTCCAACCAGGGCAAACATTGACCTTGAGACCACATCAGGTTGAGAATCAGACGGTTTGCTTCGCACCAACAGCAGTCACAGCGCAGCAACATGGAGGGACCCCGTTAATTTTCCCCCACCGATTCGCTGACTCTCATTGAACGATTGTCCAGTCGGGCAAAGATGACCCAGGCAGCCTCAGAAAAACAAACCCCAAGGGAAGGTGACCCTTCCGAGACAGACCGGACCGCTAACAGTCACAGTCTGTGTGACCCAGCTTCCTGTACAACAGGCAACCCCTCAAAGCGGAGCCATGAGACGAGGTGTTTCATCTCTGGGTGAACATTGCCACCGGCTGCTGCCTGCAACACTTCCCGGCTAGATCGAGCAACCCAATCTCGGACTGATTCGTGCCATTGGAGCTGAACCTGGAGAGCCTCGGCTCTTTTCTTCCTTAGCTGAGACTGGAAACAAAGTACGCTCCAAGGCGAGCACCAGCAGACATGCATCCTCCCTCACTTGGCAAGAGTCCATTGTGCCTCACAAGCATTCATAGTCGTGTGCATGACCTCTTTCTTCTGCTGGGCTTCAGATAGCCTTGCACCAAGAGCAAACGACCCAACAGCCAGCGACTGAAGACTTGCAGCCAGAACACTGACCCTTGCAGTGCGACAGTGCTTCCTGACAGGGGTTGCAAAAAATCTGAATGAGAACGCGCAGCGCGGCAAAAGGCCCGTCGGCCTGGCCTCCAGGCTCTTGACCCTCAATTGGAGCTTGTCGATCTCCTGCCTCGCAATCTACTTAACTTAGAACTCTCTGTCACAGTGTAGAATTCAGACTAACACATAATACTACAGGCATGTGTCCCCTCGTGTCTGTCCTCAAGTCTTCTGCCTCACCTACCATGATGTCGTGCTGGGACTCGGCTATCGCGAGCTTCTTCCAATCGACCCTGTCAAAGTCAGCATGTCACGCAAGTACGCTGTCCTGCGTCGCCGACCCTACAGACCTGGCCTGGATCTTCTCCGGTTGGCGCGGTTCTTTTCATATGACTGCTGTTTTTCCTTGCGGTGGTTCTTCCTTCTCTCCAACTCTTCCACACTGACCAACTGTTGCTCGCGCTTGACCCTTGCAGGCGTTGACTTCTCGGTCTTCACAGTGACAAGAGTTATCTCTTTTTTGACCCGGGAGGGTTCTAACTTCAAGGCAGCAGGCTCCTTCTTGACGCCCACCATTGCTGGAACACTCTCAGACTCAGATCTGCCCATGGATTCTCAGACCTACCCATTGTTTTCTCCGACATTGTGGCACTACAACTTCGTCACGCTCAGGTACCTTGACATGAACTTGAGCACGGCAGCTGTGCATGATGAGAGTTCTTCTGCACTGTGTCACATGTCCTCAGAACAATTTACGTCACAGGTTCAAGCACGGACTGTTCACTGTATCTGTGCAATGACCCTCGCATCCTCTAAAGTCCAGGTCCTGGGGATGCAAACAATTCAAATCAAGCCGAGGGCAGCTTGGCGCTGAAATCAGCCAAGCATGGAAGCAAGCCCTCCTGAAGAAATCGTGTGCCACAGTCCATGTGATGCAAAGCAATCATGCGCCGTTGTCTGCTGAGACACTGTTTCAATGTCATCTCATTAGCCGGACTGTGACCTGTGTGACCCTGACATCAGTCTCACGACAGGGATTCTCCCGCCGCAGTCGCCGCTTCTGCAGTCGACCCGGTCGATCCTGACAACAATGCCACAGACAGTTCCTTGTCCGGCTCGCTGACCCGAGCTTTCTTGGCACACACTGCCAGGTCTTCACGGTAGTACTGCAAAGTGGCTTCCAATTCGCTGACCCTGTCCCGCAGCGTTTGCTCTTTGCGTTTCCGCCACATCTCGGTCGCTTCTGACTCCATTGCTTTCCAGGACTTGGTGACAAGCGGGGTGAGGCTGACCCTGACATTGATGGGGGAGACATAGGCTTTGTTCAGGTCGTCTGCTGACCCTGCCCAAAAATCCTGGGCTTGGCTGGCACAGAAGCGCAACTGGTAACTAGAACAACAATAGAAGCGCTGCGACTGTGCTTTCTTCGCCTACAATGACAAAACAAAGCCAGGACACAAGCAAAGGGCTTGTATCCTGGTTGGCAACCAACATGTTGCCCTCCGGCAAGTCTGTGGTCATGACCTGGAAAGCAATGGGATCGCTACGCCCCGTCTTACGGCAAAGCCAGCAAAGCATGGCGGCTTTGTCCAAGTCCACGTAGAACAGGGCAAATGACCCTGGTGGGCGAGGGCCGTTCAAGTGCCGAAGCACAACGTCTCTGACCTTACTCTGGATTGGGTCGTTGATGTGGTAGAACGTAAAGACCCTGGGTTCAGGCTCATAATGACACTCACGAATCACCGACAGCCAGTGAATCGTGACATCGATGTCATAACCCTGGGCGTCAGACGCCAAGCAAAAGGCCTCAGACGTTTCAAATTTATCCTTGCCGACACTCGTCAAAAGCTTCCTCTGAAACGCCTGCTGAAAGTTGTGGAACTTGACCCTCAAGACGTAGAAGTACTTCGTGCCCAAGGAATGCAAGTACTCCTGCTGCAGCTTTACAGTCTGCTTGCTGCATGGCCCTGGCTCCTTGTCTGCGTCTGTTGGGTCGCTTGGGTTGCTCACTTGGAGGTTGAGCCCTCTGGTCTCGCGAGAAGCCACACGCAGCATCATCCACACTGCCTAGCAAGAACAATGAACAGGGCTGGCAAGTAAAAGAGCTGCACGATTACATGGACCTGGAGCAACGCAGCAGCAGCAATTGCCTCCTCGGCAGTCCCAAAAAACTCTGTGGCCAGCTTGGATTTCTGACCCTTTTCCATGCGCAACCTCAGCTTGTCGAAGGTCTGCTGGGTGAAGGCCGTGAACCCTGTCCTGGTGACGGGGTGGCCCATGAGGAAAGACACGGACACGATTTTTTCAAGACAGTGAGAGACTATGTCGGTCAGTCCTGTCGCCCATGACTGAAACAGGACCGAGCTAAGATCTCTCACTCAAGGCTTGGCACTGGAAAGGCTGTGGCGCAACACAATGATTCAGATGACAGGATGCTGGCCAGCACACTGACTCTGATGCTCGTCCCTGGAGTGAGTGACCCTGAGACCCAGGCCCAGGCCTAGAAGTTGCACAGGATCCAGGTCCTCAGGTCCTCATGGAGGAGTGACTGAGTTTACCCTAAACCCTTACTAAATTAAACCCTTAAAACCTGAAATTGACACCCTAAACCTAAATTGTTTAGTAGGGTTTTGGGTTGAGAGTTTTGGGTTTAGGGTTTTTATTGTTCGGGTTGTAGGGTTTTAGTAGGGTTTTAAGCTATTAGGGTTTCAGGGTTTTGGGGTTTGGGGGTTTTGGGGTTTTAGGGTTATTAGGGTTATTAGGGTTTCAGGGTTTTAGGGTTTAGGGTTGTAGGGTTGTAGGGTTGTAGGGTTTTAAAATTAGGGTTTTAGGGTTTTAGGGTTTTTAGGGTTTTAGGGTTACTAGGGTTACTAGGGTTATTAGGGTTATTAGGGTTATTAAGGTTTTAGGGTTTTAGGGTTTTAGGGTTTTAGGGTTTAGGGTTTTAGGGTTTTAGGGTTTTAGGTTTTGAAATTTTTAACATTTAGGGTTTTAGTTAGGGCTTTGGGGTGTTAGGGTGTGAGGGTTTTAGGGTTTTGGGGGTTTTAGGGTTTTGGGGTTTTAGGGTATTAGTGTTTTAAGGTATTAGGGTTTCAGGGTATTGGGGTTTTATTAGGGTTTTAGGGTTTAGTCGCTCACCCAGTGCCGCAGTTCAGCCACACTGACCCTTACAAACAGAAGGCCTTCCGTGCAAAGCCCAGGCTGCTGCAGCGTGTGTTCAACACGCGTCTCCTGCTGACCCAGCAAGCACATTAGCCCATGCGTCTTGCTGTCAAAGGCTTTGCCCATAAGCCAGATGGCCACAAAGCCAGCAGTCTCCAAAGAGCAACCTGGGCGCCCCACACCCGGCCAATGGTGTGTGAGGATGGCCACTAGTTTGGGCAAGCCATCCCCATCGGTAGGGCCCTGGGAGTGGCAGGCAAGGTCTGTTTCAGGGTTGATAATAATAAGGTTTAAATTCAAATACTTTAATTGCAGGGTTGTAAAAAGGATGTCTCACTGAGTAGAGGACCTGGTCGGTCCACCACCATGACCCGGGCCCTTTGTTTCATAATGACAAGACCAGATCAGTCCCATCATCTCTTTTCGGTGATCTTCCCTGAATCTTTTGCCTACATATGCCTGGCAAGGACCAGACCGGTCCCTGCCAAAAAAAAAACTTGCAAAGGACCGGCTCGGTCCCCGTCTGAAAATCAGAGGTTTCTCTTTTTGACCATGCTCGTTAAAGTTTGGTTGCTATGTAACAAGCCGCCATCCGTATTTTGGGCTTTACTGGGTTTTCTGCTTGGGCCCCGGCGCCGGGGCCCGGCGCCGGGGCCCGGCGCCGGGGCCCAGCACCGGGGCCCGGCACCGGGGCCCGCCCAGTAATGTTTACATTTCTTAAATATTAACAAGGTAACATCTTATTTAATAATCTGTATCATAACTAAAATGCAAGATATATCTCCACAATTAATGAGATTTCTACGAAATGATATTATAATAGATCATCTGATATGTTCGTTATAAGAGAATAAATCTAGATAGTCTGTATGTATATATATATATGTATATATAATCATAACACAAGCCGGCACCGGGCCCCGGCGCCGGGCCCCGGCGCCGGGCCCCGGCGCAGGGCCCCGGCGCCGGGCCTCTGTGTATATGTTATAAGTAGATAATACATACAACTAAAAATAATAATGTTTAATAATAATTTAAAATTACAATTATTGTTGCAGATAAGTTTCACATATTTCATAAGACTTCAAAATTTGTATCATAATAGGAATGAGTCTTATTATTATTATTACAACTTATAACAAGACACAGTGCCGGGCCCCGGCGCCGGGCCCCGGCGCCGGGCCCCAGGCCGAGAGGTCTGGAGTTGTGAGTTTCGATTGCTGTTGAGCCTAGAGCTTTTTGATGATTGATTAATACAGTCCAAGCTGATGACCCTGGCGGACCCAGTGACCCATTAGGACAAGAAGAATGTTATTATTTCCTAAACCACAACAATGTTATTCTTAGCCTTCTAAAATTCAACTTAAACTGAATGACAGTCCTGACCCGGGCTGGAAGGTGAGCGAGATGTGCCTCATTGCACCGCAAGACAGCGACAGAGCAATGGCAAGAAGAGTGTCACCCACGAATTCAAAACGGCCAAGCATGACCCTGACTCAGCACTGCACTCTCAAACGCAAGATGCACACACAAACTGCCTGGGCATCCGTGGCCTTGTGACCCTGAACGAAGCCGTGGCGAAGGCACCTGCACGCACAGAAACACGCTCACTGCGTGATCCCTCATGGACTCTGACCCTGACAGACAAAAGGCAGGCACTTGCACGCTCAACCTTTTGCTTGGGAAGCCATGGGACTGTGGAGCCAGGAAGTCAGACGGTGCAGCTACTTTCTTTCCAGCTTCGTTCTTGCCACTGCTTACTACTATACCATACTAAAATTATTCTGCAGTAATATATTCGTCATTAAGTCTGCTGACCCTGACACCACAAATTGGCAATTCAGCAGTGCAAAGCAGCCCTTCGGGCAGCGGCACAGAGTGCAAAATGGCCCTGACTGCACAATGATCATTGCACGGCGCAGATGCAGCTAAACAGGGGCACAGGCATCACACTGACCTTGCTAGCTGTTGTTTATGAAACGATGAGTGTTGTACTACATTGTGACCCTGTCAGACTACACTGCACGATTCTCGACCATTGGTAGCTCGTGGTTCACGCGGCTGGTGATCCACCCTCCCAGTTCTTGCTCTGGGTTTTTGTAGTGGGCCTGGATCGCAGTGGTCCTCAGCAGTCGATGGGCTTTGGTTCCAGAGACTTAACGCCAGTTTCTACTACAAAGACAACTAAAGCAGCTGAAGTTTGCAAATGCAAAAATGTTGTGGCCAAGTGTCAAAATGATCGAAGCCCGCAACTGACCCTCGTAGCTGAAACAGTAGAGAAAGCGCAGTCGAGGCAGGTGGGACAAGTTGACCCCGACGCCGGTAAGGATCTCGGTCCTGGGCTGGCGGGTTGTAGGGCCGACGACTTGTTCAAGCCTAGGGAGGCTCACATACTAATAAAGCAAGAAAAAATTGCACTGAAGTGGAGAAAAGCAACAAGACCTCCGTGGCCTGATTGACTACGTTGACCCCGACGGGAGCGACCGCTTCCAATGCAGCCTCGGCGTCTTCATCGAAGGATTGCCGAAGCCCTCCAAAGACGTTGGCCGTGGAGTGTATCAACCACGCGGAAGGGTTCTTGGGGAACTCGGCTGTGGGGCAGTTCTTCAAGTAGCGGAGGAAGTCGCGCGCCCACTCTTCCCTGACCCTGAACAACAAGTAGAGGACCTAGGCTGCTGAACCCCCACATTGACCCTGACACTTTGGCTGCAGAAACCCACATTGACCCTGACTTCAGGAACAAGCTGAAAGCAATACTAATTTTAATCCTTGGAACCTGCTGCGCCCCGTGGTCGAAATGCTGTTCTGCCATGCGCACGACGTTCGGCGTCAGGTAGCCGAGCACCGCTGACCCTTCCCAATTCTGGGCCCGCTGCGGGGTGGTCCTGAGAAGCACGAGGAGGTTGCGTCACAATGACCCAACCAAAACGAAAACCTCTAAGACTCACGTTCCAATTATTGCCAAGTCTCTGCGCTGGCCTTGACAGCTCGCCATCGTTTTGGCGTGGCACTCGCGGTTTGCGGGACCAGGCAGGCAGGCTTCGGGCACGGTTCTCAGCATGGCCCTGATCGCTGCGCCTTTGGTGACCCTGCTGCTGCCCGCCATCTCCAACACCAGAGGCCGCAGACTGAGTGCCAGCTTGACCACTGTCTCCAGTGGCAGCCTGACCCTGACCACCATGTTGATCAGAGCCCGTTTGGTGAGTGGCAGCCTGACCCTGACCACCATGTCCATCAGAGCCAGTTTGGTGAGTGGCAGCCTGACCCTGACCACCATGTCCATCAGAGCCCGTTTGGCGAGTGGCAGCCTGACCCTGACCACCATCTCCACCAGAGCCCGCTTGGCCAGTGGCAGCCTGACCCTGACCACCCGCTGACTGACTGCCCTGACGCTGCGTGCCACCACCATTTCGACCGCCCTGACCCTGATTGTCTGGCAGCATTTGCGGCGGTATCCCTTGCCGGACCAGATTCCAAGCACTGTCCTGACCCTGCTGCGACGGAGGGGCCGCCTGGCTTAAGTGGCCATCGCCTGTCCACTGACCCTGGCGATCTTGCTGCTGGGTCTGATGACCATCTTGACCCTGGCTCCAGCCATCCTGCCAGGCCCAACCATCCCACCACCCAGCTTGGGCCCACCACTGCCCATCTTGGGCCCACCACTGCCCATCTCGGGCCCTTTGCTGCCCATCTCGGGCCCTTTGCTGCCCATCTCGGGCCCTTTGCTGCCCATCTTGGGCCCACTGCTGCCCATGGTGGCCATCCTGGGCCCACTGCTGACCCTGATGGCCAGACATCGCTTCACAGGACAATAATAATACTGAATCTCACAACAGACCACAGGCAAGATTCCCCTGAAATTTTGAGTCGATTGTTGCAATTGTCTCTGCTCTGAATAAAATAAATTAAGCTCGTCACTTCAACTTCTACTCGTCCTTGTGAGCCTGTGATTGTGTCATGACCCTTCATGCAGCTCCAACCATGGCTCTCAGGTGCTGCTGCAATTTAATTCAACTCAAAAAAATCCTTCTCAGAGCATCTGACTGAACTGCAAACGGAACGGCACCTCCTCGTCAATGATCCTCTGACTGTGGAAGGCGCTGACCTGGCAGCAGGAAGCAGGCAGTGGCTGCTGACTGTGTTGGAAGGCACAGGAGAACATGTGACCCTTGATGCTACGCTGCAGCACTGAATGCAAAGATTGACTTGCGCACTGCAGACAAAATGCCAAGCTGACACACCTACCTCCACAACTCCGAATCAAGGCCTTGCCTGACCCTGAGGCCTGCCCGCAGCGGCGGAGGGCCGCCTGCCCGAGAGCAAGGAGTCGGAAAACCCGCAGTGACTTTAAGGGTGTAGGGTCTAGGGATTAGGGGTTTAGGGGTTACTGTTTAGGGTTTAAAGTTTTCGGGTTTAAAAGGTTTGTGGAAGTCAAAGGCGGCCCAGCTTCTTGGCTTGGTCAGGGCAAGTTGGGTTCATCAGGAAGTTATTATGATCGCGTTTGCAGTAGAAGTTTTTTCGGCACTGCAGGTGCTGGCGAAGACTTGTCGTCGGGGACACCTTTAGGTGTTGACGCCTTAGGCGTGGGGGCCGATGACCCTGGAGGACGTCTAGGCCTGGGCGTTGAAGACGCTGTCGGCCCTGAAGGCATCGATGACCCTGCCTTTGCGGTGCCAGGAATGCTCCTTGACAGGGATTGACCCCGCATGTGGTCCATCGCGAGCAAGTAGCCATCGATCTGGTGCAGGACGGCCGGTGTCTCCTGCTTTGGCTTGACCCTGACCTGTCGCTCTGCAGCCTTCTTGGCCCTGAGCGCTTTGGCCTCGGCTTTCTCCTTGGCCAGCTGCTCATGCGCCTGAGTTGTCTGAAACACAGCAAACAGATTGATTGATTAATGGGTAAATTATTCAGCCACCCAAACTTTAGATTCAGCCGAGTTTAAAATTATTGTACTTTAAATGCAACGATGGGACCGTGCGCTGGGCCAAGACCGCGGCCTTCGCAACAGCCTTTGGCAGGTACTTCGCAAGGGCGTGCTTGACCATACCTTCCAGACGCTGCTGAAATTCAGTCACCTCCTCTGACCCTGGCTCAGAATTGGACGACGAGGATGAGCTGGAAGACGAAGACGCCGATTTTGACCCCTTTGCAG